ATTGTTTTGATTAATACAATATTTGGATGGTCGTTATATAATGTCATACTAGAGGTCGTAATAAGTAGTTTCTTGATCTTCAATTGATAACTTGTTTGGATGTTTTTGACATATGGTTAGTTTGAACTATATTGTTTTGATGAATACAGTTTTTGGATGGTCGTTATATAATTTCATACTAGAGGTCGTAACTTCAAATTTTGTCTTGCTCTTTGATTATAGTATTATTTTGTTGTAGTTACTGTTCTTTTTTTCAGATTGTTTTGTGAGCGGTTTCTTCACTTCTATATTCTTTTCCGAACTGTTTTTCTATGTTTTTTCTTGAGCCGAGGGTGTATGAGAAATAACCTCTCTACCTTCTAAGATAGGGGTAAGGTCTGTGTACGCACTACCCTTTTCGAATCCCACTTGTGAGATTATACGGGGTATGTTGTTGTTGTTGTACATATTGCCACTCATCAAAAGTATGAAATATAAGCTTACAATATTATATAGAGAAGTTGGATGTATTGTAAGTTTACTACGACACCTAAACAATCGTTACATAAAATGAGACTTTTGTTGTTTACATGACGATGAATTTAACGATACTATACACTAGGTAACAACCATCCTGCATTGTAATTATTGCAGGAGAGAAGCATGGAAGCATGTAACAGAGAGGTTGGTGAATAGTTTGAAGGATTCTGCAGAATTTGCTGAGGAAAAATTAGATAACATACTAAATGTAGGGGATATGCTATTGCAAAACTCGAAACATGTTAAAGAATCATTAGCCTCGATTGATGTTCGTACTCAACAAGTAGCAGAGACGTCAAAGAATGTTGAAGGCCGGGTGAACGCTGTGTTGAGTCAGTCAGAAGTAATTTTAGAGCACTCTAAAGGGATAGCATCTTCCCAACTAGAGTTGAGCGAAGGCCAGGCGAAAATGAAGGAGAGTTTACACGAGAACATGGCGATAGTTCATGAATCGTATACTAATCTAGACCATGGGATCGATGGTTTAAGGACTAAAACGGAGGACATTGAAGACGAGATTGTGAAAGTTGGAGATGAAATGAGTACTAGAATGGATAAATTGCAGAATAAAGCTAATGATATTGGGAATATTGCAGGCCACACTTTGAGTAAACAGAAACAACTTTTGGATGAACAATCTAAAGCTCTTGATAACCTTCAACTCCTTCATAATTTTCAGTCTCAAGCACTCGAAGAGAGCAGGTAAACATCGTCAACCATAACATCTCGTGTGGTTCTTATACCTTACTTGTTGTCGTAGGTCAACTTAACCTGATAGTGTAAGTGCATTGCTAACTGTTTCCGCGTAATGCAATATGTTTAACACTTCTACAGGGGAACTCTGAAACAATTGACTCAATTCGGACACGAGCAACAACAGGAGCTTCTTAGAAGGCAAAAACAACTACAACAAACTCATGATCATCTAGTTGAGAAATCAAAATCAATATTAGCTGCTCAGGTTTGTTAAATTCTCAAATCTCTATCATATTCTATTAAATTTCTTCTACTTTTTCAATAATTTCATCAAATTGTGATTTGTGTCAAACAGGAAAATTTTGAGTCTAAACAAGCAAGCATGTTTCTTGCTTTAGACAAACTATTCACCTTACACAATGCTATGCTTCTTGAATCAAGAGTGATCAAAGCTTTCTTGCTTTACTCGTTATCGATCTTTCTTCTCTACATGTTCACCAGCACGAAGCAGACGTATGATGTGAGACCTAGGTTATACATAGGTAAAGTATCATCACACCTTCCTTCCAACGCGAAAAAACAACTTTGTTATTTGACTCTATTGATTCTTATCATTTTTGTATCATTTCTCTATTTGTTGTAGGATTAGTACTCACATTCTTGATTGAACTAGCTATCCTTCGATACGGATCATACGAAATGGAGAATCAAGCATTGTTTGTAAGCATAGTTAGGTCAATATATGTGTTACTAGCCTCAAGCCAACTTCTATATTCCATATGGACATACAGGTAACAAACAGAACATAACCTCAAAAGCTTTTTTGTTTTTGTTTTTTAAGCATTACAACAACATGACATTTTGTTGCAGAGATTATGAAGTGTTGAACCATAAGATGTTACAAACACTGATGGAAAAAGTTAATGGAATTCAAAAACACAAGGAGTACTTGTTATGGGAAATGGAGAACGACGATTCGGACGATGAGGTAGATTGGTCTTCATGGATTGAAGAAGAATTACCAGAAGATGCTGATAAATTGAAGGATCCTGATTTTGTATATCCTGTAGAAATTGCTGAGAATTTAGTTGGAAACAAGTCAATTACAAGGAGATACAACTTAAGAAACCATCTTTTGACATATTGAAGTTGTTAACATGATCATGAACTTAGGTTACTGGTTTGATCGGTTTGTTGTCTAGAAATATGTTTTCGATCTATCTATCGATTGAACTAGGGTTCTTTTTCTAGATTTAATGTTATATCTTATATTAATGTATATATATAGTACTAGTTATGTGTAAAACTTTGGGACTTAGACTTCATAGATGTGTTCAACACTTTTTCAATCGTTACTGGTATGATCAGTTTGTTGTTTAAAAATATGTTTTCAATCTGTTTATCGATTGAATAAGGGTTCTTGATCTACTTTTGATGTTATATCTTATACTAATGTTTATATATAGTACTAGTTATGTGTAAAACTTTGGGACCTAGACTTCGTATAAGTGTTCAAACATAGCAGAAGTTTAATGCATCGAAGAATCGTAAAAGTAGACCCTTGTCAATTAGATCACCTATAAAATTAAGTGGCAAAATTTGTGACCACGTAGGTCTTTAATAAGACACTAACTTTTATTCCTAATATATATATATATATCCCCATTCCTTCTATTTCTCCAAATTTGTTACTCCTACTTAATTGTGTGGCTCTTAAAATTCTACTTTTTTCAACTTTTTTTTTATTATATATATATACACATAATTTTATTATTTTTTTTTTTACATTTTCAAGAATTGAAAAAAAAATGGTGATGTCTACATTGTGGAAATTTCTATATCCTCCACCACCATCTTTGTTTGTTACTACAATGTCTATTATAAGTGTTGTTTCATTAGCAAATGCTGGATTTTCAGAAATTAAAGGAAAGCATATGCAATATTCCAAATTTTTTGGAACAATAAAAGATGAAAATGACGAGAAGAAGAAGAAGAAAAAAAAGGCAAAAATTGAGAGTAAATTAGGGATGATTTTATTATATGGTCCTTCATTTCTTGGTGGTATTTCTTCATTTGCAATTTTTCCAAATGGTGATTTAAGGTTTGTTTTGGTTTGTTCTGCTTTATCCATACATTTCTTCAAGAGACTGTTTGAGGTATTATACTAATTTTACTCTTCAATTAGTGTTTTTTTAATACTGGTACGATTGTTTGGTACAGTATATAAAAATAGTATACTGATAATATCAAATTTACTTTTATTCATTGTTTGATTTGATTTATTTTAAGGCTAGTTATATCTTTTAGACATGTTTGTCTATGCATTAATAATATTGGTATTACTAATATCATGAATTATTATGTATCAGTTATACTTACTACACTTTATAACACTGAATATGATGTATAATTAATGTATATTAGTTATACTACTTCAGATGATCATTGTTCTATTTTCATACATTCAAATCTATACAAGATTAAATTTAGCTTTAGAGAAATGGTATTAAAACGGGCGGATCAGCTCGTATGAATGGTTGCATGTACATCAGTTAACTTCGAAAAAAATCAAATAACGTGTGTATATACTTTGAGAAATTGATAAAAATTATAATATAATTGACTGTGCATTCATGAGGAGCGTAGGAATGTTATTGTAGTACAGATAAAACCTAGAAAAACTATCCGTGAGACTTGAATTCAAATTCAACTTAAACTGCACCCGAAGTCTTCAAATTCTAGTTTCATCTCTCTATATTAAACCCTAAAAATCAACCCTATGTGGACACAATTCAAACTAGGCCAATATTGTGAATCATAAATGTGGTCCTAATTTCAGACTATTTTATGACTCAAAAACAATTTATGGTCCACCACTATGTAGTTTGGTACTTGTGAATAGATGTGTCCTTTTAAACACCATCAAAGATTGTAGTGGAAAGTAGGTATTTTGAACTAATTCAAAATTTAAATTTTATATGTTTAATTTTTTAAATTTATTGTATTTTTTAAAATAAAATTATGAATTAATGTCTATTATTTGTTATAATTTTTGCGTAATTTACAAATAAATTTATTTTTCCTATTGAATTTAATATTGATACTCTACATTTGCTTATGTAATTACTTCTTCATTGTTAGCCAGAAGCTTCAAGCTATATTGTTTAGATTCTTTTAAATTGCTTTTGAGTGTGTATAGATCAAATTCTTTAAAAAAGTAATGCATTTTTAAAGATTCGACAATATTTGTTATGATAACGTACTTTCTTGAACAAATCCTAATTCTTTTGCTTTGTTGATATACTAGGTCCTATTTGTTCACAAATATAGTGGTTCAATGGATGTTGAAGATGCAATTGCAATATCATTAAGTTATTTCCTCTCCACAATCACCATGATTTATTGTCAACACCTTTCTCAAGATTTGCTAGAGCCATCCATTGATCTCAAGTATGGTGGATACATAATATTTTTGGTTGGTATAATTGGCAACTTTTACCATCATATTTTGCTATCTAAATTGAGAACAAAAGGTGAAAAGGAGTACAAAATTCCTCAAGGTGGCCTATTTGATTTTGCAATATGCCCACATTATCTCTTTGAGATTCTTATATTTGTAGGAATTTCATGCACTTCTCAAACATTATATGCAATTTCATTCACTTTGGGAACTACTTTTTACTTGATGGGAAGGAGCACTGCTACAAGAAGATGGTACCAATCAAAGTTTGATGATTTTCCAAAGGATATTAAAGCACTTATTCCCTACATATTTTAGGTTACTTTGTTGAACAAGTATTATAAGTTATGTGTTGTTTATGTAGATCCTTTAAAATATGTTTAATCTTAACGAAAAGTGAATCGGTTTTGTAAGGGGTACATACTTATATTTGTCTTCAATATACTTGTTCTGAGCTTAACATAACACTGTGAAGATTCTGAATCGTAATAAAAATGAATCACTCTAAAGATGCAACCTAAGGGGGGGTGGGGGTGATATTATCGAGAGATTTAACCATTCAAAGGTGTGGTAAAGTTATAAATGAAGTGAAAAAGAATTACAAGTTGAATGTATGAATCTTAATAATTAAGATTTCGATCATACTTGATGAGTATGAATAGATTTGAATAATTATAATTCATATTAAAATCTTCATATCCTTAAGGTGTTTATTTAAAGATACCTACAAAAATTGTAGTGTTTAAAGATATCTACAAAATTTGTAGTTCATCAGTTTCATTCGTTCATTGTTACTGTCTTCATCCACCTTTATCAATTGTGTGCCGCCTAACACCACCACCACCACCGTTCGATCACTCTAATCTTTTTTCATAATCCCTAGCCACCACTTACAACCATTATCGCTAATTACAATTACTATAACTATCATCAATCACCATATTATATATCGCTAATCAGTGTTATTATTCACTACTATTAATAAATTTCACTATCGTTCACCATAATTATAAATTATTACAAACACCGATTACTATCACCGTCAACCACAAACCACTAGCTACTACCAACATCCAACTATTAGTCAACATCATCCCTAATTAACAATATAACCATTATTAATAGCCATCATTATCACTAATCACCATAGAAATTTCAAAAAAATTTATTGATAAATAGTACATATTAATTTAAATGATTGATAGATATGAATCGTGGCAAATAAATAACTACAATTTTGATTATTTTTTTCCATCCTCATTTTTAGTTTTGGCCTTTTCTTATCAATATTATATTCATGAATAATTGAAAAATATTTACCAAAAAAAAATATTTCTATTTATATTTTTGGTTTGTAGGTGTAGTATAGTGTTTCATATTTTCTTCTTATTATTATAGCCAGCCAGTTGTAAGATGCTATTGTTCTAAACACTTTAGTCCTCAAATATTTTTATTTTGTCCTTTTCTACCCCTAATCCAATAAAAATCAATCCACACACATCCTAAACAATAAACAAAGAAATCAATTATGGCACAAATATTTAGAGAAATATTATTTCAAGAACCAAATTCAATCTTTATCAAAGTTATGATAATGATAAATTTAATATTTTCAGCAATATTGGGTTATTCAGAAGGCTCAGGCAAACAAAATCTTGAATATTCAAAGTTTTGGAATTTGAAATCTCAAGAAAAAATTAAAATCCCAAGCAAAATTGGGATGATTATTGCTTATACTCCTAGTTTAATTACATGTTTAAGCTTCTTTTGGATATTTCCAAATAGCGGAATCAGATTTTTCATGCTTAATTTCGCTATTACCATTCATTTTTTCAAAAGACTCCTTGAGGTAATTAATCATCTTACCCCTTTTTTTTCCAGTTTATCTTATATGCATCGATACGATGAAAAAGGGAAAGATTTATAATTATGAAAATAAAATAGATTATATATTACAGTCTAATTTTTTGGATTATTTAGTTTATATGAAAAAAAAGTTTACTATGAAAGTTTTTTCTACTCCTTGCTAAAGAGGGTGTCAATTTTAGGTCTCGAATCCGATATATTTAGTTAAAGATGTAAAAATTGTAACCATAATACCAATTCACCACACTTTGTAATGGTGATTAAACTTGTTAAATATGACTTGTGAAAGGACTAAAAATAAAATAGACTAAAATACAGTGACAAAATGTGCAAACCAATTCTTTCATTTATTTATTTGTTTGTTTATTTCAGAGATAATGAAAAACATATTTAAATAGTTATTTTTTTTGGTTAGTTTCATATTTTAATAATTTGTTGTTTTATGTACGTATCTAAATTATTACTTTTTCTTATATCAAAATATAGTTCGATATTGAGTTGGTCAAATATTTATTCTAAATTGATGACTGACATGTATAGGCTAAGGTATATTTTAATACAAAAAGAGTGATAATTGAAATATGAAACTTGCAAAAAAGACGATAGTTTAAGTAGGTAAATAGAAAAATTACTGTCTAAAGACTAGCAATTAAGCATCAATTAACACACAATTTACACATTTTGCAGGTTTTGTTTGTGCACAAATATAGTGGTTCCATGGCTATGAAATCTGCAATTACTATTTCCTCAAGCTATTTTATAGCCTTTTCAAGCATAATATATATTCAACACTTGACCAAAGGATCAATAGAGCCAATAATTGACTTGAAGTATTCTGGATTTATTGTATTTTTAGTGGGAATTATTGGCAATTTTTATCACCATTTTATCCTTTCTAAAATAAGAAAAAAAAGTGAAAGTGGATATAAAATTCCTAAAGGTGGCCTTTTTAACTTAGTTATATGTCCACATTACTTCTTTGAAATTGTCACATTTTTTGGTTTTTCTCTTATTAGCCAAACTTTGTTTTCATTTTCTTCTACCATAGGGACATTATTTTATTTGATGGGAAGGAGTTATGCTACTAGGAAATGGTACATTTCCAAATTTGAAGATTTTCCTAGAAATGTTAAGGCTTTAATACCTTTTGTATTTTAAATAAATTTATGAGTATAATTTAGAATTGTTATGAGCCTATTAATATTGTTTAAATACAGGTCGAGTTTACTGTTTACTTTTTTTTTTTAGTTTATATATATGGATTATACATGATTATACACATGTTATATAATTTTAATCTAAGTGGTTAGTGATTGAATATTTATATTGATATATAATATATAGATATACATTTTAACGTGATCTCGCAACTGATCGACAATTAAACAATTCAACTTTGAGAATGTATATCTAAACATCTTAACTTGTCCTTACTGTATCTCGTGGAAACCCGATGTTGACGCGATACATAAATTTTAGAGGTACATAAATGATTATTTTGTAAGTAAAAGTGTTCAACCAACACATAAAAAACGAGTTAAGATATCTATATGTGTATCTATAAAATTAAATTGTTCAGTTGAGGACAAGTTAAAATATTTATTTGAGCTCAATTCTAATACATAATACATTAAGTAATCTTAAATGACTATCCAAGTGAATATTAACTAATTATTTAATTTACTTATTAAAATTAGTTACTAATTTATATTATTGGAATGTTTCAAGTTTATATACATATGGAATACTTCGTAAGGTTTTCAATTGTTTTGATTATACTTTTCTTCCTCTTCCTTTGGAATGATTCAAAATATATTTCTACATCAAAGAGAAAAGGAAATAAAGATATTTAATTTTGCATGTGTTTGCAGATAAAAGTCAGAAATTTGTTTTATTTTTCTTTCATAAATTCTGATTAATATAAGGTACTTGATTAATGAGGAATTTTCACAAATAATCGCTATGAAAAACTTAATTATGCTCTATAGATATAGTTTGTATATTTACGCGAGCTACTTCATTTATATAATTCGTCGATTTGTATAATTCACAGGTGCGGATACATTTCTGTAACTCAATTATTTTTGTATAAGTTCGACTAACAAATTTATACGATCACAGACATCACAAGTGTAAATAGTTATAAAAATTTTATATTATACAAAAATTATACAAATTATATTATATAAATTCTGAATTATACAAACACGTGAATAATACAAAACTAAAAAGTCGCGCCACATAATTATAGATTAAATTAAGCAGGTCGCGAATTTTAATTAGGGAAAACTATAACTATGTTAATTAAATAACTAATATATGTATACTTATACGTGTAATTTTTCCTTAATTAAATCAAAATAGGACAAGTTATAGATTAAGTAATTCAATTAAAATGCAAGTAGCATAAAATAATAGTTTTATTAATTAAAATTAATAAATTGCTCCTATGTTGATGATGTACTATGAATTCGTATGAAAAAATTATTTTATGGGTTTAGCTCAATACCTAGAAAATTGGATGACGAGTCACTTAGCAAGCAGTTGACATTCTTTGTTTTATTTCGTGCGTTTTAATTTATTTGTTTTATTCTTATTTAATCTATTTAAAAAATTATATCTTTTTTTACAACTCTTTAATTTCGATTTTCTATACATATTTAAGATCATAAGATTAAAATTACGAAAATTATCTTTATTTTCTTAAATTTTGTGTCAAATCGAACCAGAACAAATAAATTGAAACGAAGAGATTTAGAGGGTGGGGGGATAAAAGAAGGGTTCAGCCTAACTCATATATATATATATTATATATAATATATAATGAATTAGAGAGGTAATTTAAGGTGTATATAGACTATAGTATGGATGGCAAAATAATACTATATTGTGTTAGTACTCTTCTTTTATTGGTATCGATAGGAATATCAATTTGCTTCTATGTTAGGGACAAGCCAGATAACCAGAGCCTTTTTCCAAATTCTACTCACCAAGCCACTCATGGTGATGCCGTATTGGCACCACCAGCTAATGGTGGTGGTGTCCCATCGGCACCACCATATGTGGCGGGGATATAACAGTGATCGATCCAACGATCCGACGCCATAACAAGATCGTGTGGTGTGTAGTGTGCATATATTATTCCCTATTGAGTGATTGTCATACATTTGTTGTATTGTAAGTGTGTCTTTTAATTTAGCTTCAATTAGCATTTATGCCCTAATTTAGATACGCACAAGTAGGTACTTAAACTATCTAAAAGTTAAACGAGTAGACACTTGTGTCATATGTGACATTCTACGTGGCAGTTATGCGTTCTACATGACATTCTACGTGTATTATGCTACATATGACTTGTGTGTCTGATTGTTTAACTTTTGGATAGTATAAGTGTTTACTTGTATACAGCCGAAGTTAAAGAACATAGATAGTAATTGATCTAAGTTAAACGATACGTTTATATATTATACTCGTAGTATAATTGTTATTGTTTGTGATGAAGTGTTTGTACTACCAGTAATTAGATTAAAAAAATCAGAATGTAAAGTATTGAATGAACTCAAAAAGATTGTAATTTATCATGTATATATTTTTCAATT